AGTAATTCATTTGCTGCACAGTGTATATGACGGTAACGCATTTATTAAGAAATTGCCGGTTTGTCAATTTACAGCTAACCTAAGTAATTCAAGCGCTGCACAGTGTATATGACGGTAACGCATTTATTAAGAAATTGACAAACAAACAAATAAGAAAAATATCTTCAAATTTTATAGGCATGAGCAGTGGCACACTTCGAGAGTTCATCCTTTTAAACAGAAAATAATTTTCAAAATCGGTCCACAATATTGACGGAGAAATCGGACTACAAACATAAATAAAACATGCATAAAGTCGATCATATAACCTCCTCCGTTTTCTTTACGTCGGTTAAAAAGGTACTTTAAGAGGGAGCATGCCAAAAAAGTTTTGGCGTTGGCTCCGCCCAAATTTGTGAAACAAATATATTCCTGAAGTTCGCGTGACATGCGACAGGAGATGTTGAATTTTGCGCATTAAAAGTACCAAATTCGTTTTGGCGGAATAACTCTCAAACTAAAGGGATTAAAAAAATCCGTAGTGACAGTTGTCGATCATGCATAAATATAATTAATTATGTAATTTTTGTCCTAATAAGGTTATTAGGTGCTAAACTACAAAAGTACTAAATTTAGTGCTCGAAATGCTACTGGTGTAGCATTTCGAGGATAAATCGAAAATTGTGAAAATTAGAGGTCATTTCGTGATTTTTATCTATCGAGGAAACTTTATTGTTTTATGTTTCTGATTAATGTCAATGCTTGAATATATCGTGTAGTTACTCATACGATATTTTATTTTTAACTTTAAAATGGATATACCCTTCTAAAATCAAATCGAAGATTAGGAATTTTTCCTCTGCTCCCACTTAAAGATATTTTTATTACATTTTAGTGGCGAAAGAGTCATGGGTATATTACCAAGCGGCGCAGCAAGTTCTCGTGTTAAGGTTCGTCCAGAATTATTATGGCCAGTACCAGTACATTGGAGTTTGGAAGATGCTGTTACAGTGCCTTCAGCCTATTTGCAGGCATTTTATTGCTATGTGAGTATCCCAGCCATCCCACTGACGTTGCACACATAAATTCTATAAAGCTTAGTCAAATATTGTTATTAGGAATATGTGAAATATTAACAATAATTTTCCAGAATAAGAAACTGTTTTTGCCTGGGTATACAATACTGGTACACTGCGGAGCAGGTGCGCTGGGACAAGCTGCCATCGCTATCGGTTTGAATAATGGCTGCGAAGTGTTTACTACAGTCAGTGACACACGAAAGAAGAGTTTCTTGATGAAGTTGTTCCCAGAACTTCAAGGTTTTTTAATAGACGCTACGTAAATCATTTAATAATACCACAGCAGCGAATACATGAATATTACAATGATGCCGTTCTTGTTTTTAGAGGATCACATTGGTAATTCACGAGATCCCACTTTCGGTGATATGGTGAGAACCATCACAAGGGGAAAAGGATGTCATATTGTCATTTGTAGTCTTCAAGGAGAATTGAAAAATGTAAGAAAATCTTTAAAAAACGTGCTAAAGACGGTATTTTGACTGCTTAGTAAAATTTATTGGTTTCCAGGTTTCATTAAATGTTTGTGGTTTGTCTGGTATTACACTGGACACAACGCAAATTTCCACTCAAGAGGAGTTTAATTTTGGAATGAATAATTTAATTTTAGAGCGAAGTTATGTACCAATTGATCTCTGTTCTTTGTTGACCAATGATACACTGAAAAATTTAAAGGTAAGTTTTTAGTGGCTACAAGAGTTTGTATCACAGTAAAGCTTAATATATCGTTCGAGAAAATTGAGAAGGGCATATTAACTGACTATTGAATAAAAATAATTGTACTTGCAGAAGCTTCAACTCATGATAAGTGAAGGAATCGTCAAGGGATATGTGCGGCCTCTGTCCCGCGTGACGTATCCTCCACACGAGGTATCCCGGGCATTCCGTTTGCTAGCAACCAGTCGCCATCGTGGCCGTGTCGTACTACGCTTACGTGATTCGGTTCCTGTAACACAGGCCAGGTGTTTATTTCACTCATCAACAGTTTATTGGTACTGGTTTTACATAGCAGACTTACAGCACTGGCTGTTTTATGTTCTCAGGCTTTCGTGTTCTCCTGACTCGTGCCACATAGTTATTTGCGATGACGATTCTTTTGGTGTTCAATTCGCCAATAGATTGGTTGCTCGAGGTGCTACAAAAATGCATTTATATACGCAAAACGTATCGTCATATCTACATATGAAGAAAAAGTACGGCTTTTGTTTCGGGCATTTATCCAGCATCTTTTAATACTTCTTATATATGATTATTATGTCATGTTTGTGATGATTTCATAATAATTATGTTTTAGATTATGGGCAAATCTTGACATAAAAGTGGAGATTTCTTCAGATGATCTTGGCAAGAGTGACAATGTCGTTACTCTATTTAGCGAGAGTAACCGTTTGGGACCAGTGGAGGGAGTGTATGTGTTGGCTTCTAGTGTTACTGAACAAGATGTCAAGAAACTAACGACATTAGTTCATAATCTGGACTTGGCTACTAGAAAGTTCTGTAAGTCCTTAAGGTATGTAATTCCGTATGAATAATATTCTTTTCACGATGTTGTTGCAGTGGGCAGACAATGTGATCTGTCTATATCTATCCGTTTGGTGGGCTAAGTACGTGTTATAGTGTTATAATGCATAAAAAAGTCTCTTGGAAGATGTTTTAAACAATGTCTGAAAGTGATAATAATGTCTTTTGCAGATATTTTGCGGTTGTCTGCATTGGCGTTACTGTCGGACAGAATACATGTCACGCTCGCTTCCGTGACGGTTTACCAGTGATAACTCTTAATTTGTTTGCATTTAAAAAGGTAAGAAATCATGCTTGTTTTAATTCTATATTAAATTTTGTTTTTATTTTTCATTAAGTTTTCATTAAATATTTAAGGTTTTATAATAGTACGTTAAATTTTAAGGAACACTTTTTATGGCATTGATTTATGCAACTGTATACTGTAATTAAATATTTTAACTATAGTATGAATCATTTTTAGACGTCCAAAATGTAAACAAAGAAAAGTCTAAGTGTGAATGCAAGTGTGCTGAACCTTCTATTTCTAACGAAATTTGAAAAAAAAAGGAGGTTCTAATTTTATACTATTTTAATCATTTATTACAAAATAATAACAAGAAAAAAATTCTAACAACAACAGACAATAGTTTAACAAACAAACTACGGAGACAATAAAACATTTGAGCTCGAGAAACGAAGCACGAATGACATCTATGAGACGGCAAAATAGTGGCATAAAAGTGTTTTTAATCCCGATTGTGTTACCAGTCATAAAATTATTTACGTTTTCTGCTTGAAAAGAGTTCCACGCGTTTATTATCCTTAAAATCGTATCATAAAAAATAGGAAAATACCATTTCCAAAATTTGTTTACATTTTGGACGTCTAATTATGATTCATATTGTAGGGCGGTACTGAAGACTGGGCACAGGAGTCGTATTCATGGAGACAAGCGTTGAATACATTAGAGCTAGCAATACGCACATCTCAGCCGACGTTGCTGGCTCTTCTCCCAAAAAAGGCAACCTCTTCGCTGTTGCAACAAATTAGTAGGCGTGCAGGTAAGTTTTTAGTATATTCGTTCAAATATCGTAGCATGTTACAACAATCCCTTTCGAATAAAAATATCTACATGGTTTGTAATTATCACCAGAAATTAAGATCTCTGAAGATACACAAGATGAAACCACACTTCAAGACATGGGCATCGAATTGACAAACGTTTCAATCATTCAAACCTTCCTGCGGGACGTCTATAATGTTTATTTGGCCGACGAACAGATTTTGAATTTGACTAGCCAAAAGTAAGTTTTGAAAACAATAAGAGCTAACTCTACAATAACTGATAATTCAATTAAAATAAACGATATTTGCAGACTTCGAGAATTGGAGGACATAATAATGGGGAGTGAATTCAAGCCCGTTTGTGGCCTCGGGACTTTCTTTTCATATGTTGACCCTGATGAACTGCTCGCAACAAATGGATGGGTCTTCTTGCCAACACGTGTTAGCAGCGGCAGCATGGTAATTCTTTTGATCATTTTTTATTATGTAGCTATTGGGAAAATTTATCGAGACTTTCTTTCAGAGAGACGAGGATTTCGATGTTTCTAAGAAATATCTGTGCATCATACCTGGGATGGAAGGACACTATGCAAGGTTTCGAGTGTTGTGTGAAAGACTCAAGTTACATGCCATCGTGCTGCAGCCTGGCCTCGACTTATTACACGAAAGCATCCGGGAAACTGCTGAGAGATATTCCAATGTACTTATAAGCACTTTGTACAGGTTTTGTCATTGGAATAGCTTTGTATAGCGTTATTAATATTTTTTGTTTTTTAGTTTTTACTGAAGAAACTCCAATTGAGGAACAACTATTATCTTTTGGGGCACGAATCTGGAGTTCTGATAGCGTTAGAGGTAGCTGCTATTCTAGAAGAACACGGTCTGACTGGCACAGTGTTCTGTGTTGGAGGTACGCCAGAAGACATTCAAGCTACGCTCTTGGATCAAATTAGTGAATATGAAACTGAGGAAGCTCTGCAGGATGCAGTGGCGAGATACATGTATAGTTTGATGACAGGTAATACTGAAAGGATAGAACAAGCCCTTACGAATGTATCATCATGGAACGAAAAGATTGATGCGTACGTCAGAACTTTATTGGGAAAGGTGCCACATTCAGCGCAGTATGCTCGAGCTTGGATCGAAGCTGCTTATACGCGCATAGCACATTTGCGTACATACAAGCTACAGCCGCGGCAGCTGCGTTCTAAGCTCATCCTACTTCGAGCATCTCTCAGCACTGGCTCACCCTCGATCGCAGAAACAGCGGCTATAATGCAACGCTACTCTAAACAACCAGTGGCAGTGTACCAGTTACGGGCTCCTCTGGCGTATGCGACTTATGACCTGCGCTGTGGAGCGATTATAAATCGCCATTTGGATGACGAAATTCAGCAGGCATACAACGAAACCAACCTTTGTGAAACTTACTTAATTAATCCAACGAAGTTCTTAGAGGTTATTGAGGATACAAAAGTTTAATTTTTTTATTTTTCCATTTTTTAAATATTGTTTAACGTATCTATTTATATTACGTACTAAAGTACTTTAAGAAAGGTGTGGTCGAGTTATGAAGATAAGTTTCGTGAAATATAACGAATTTGATTTATAAATGCTATATTTCTGTTTTTATTTTCAAACCACAATCTCAAAAGTTGTCGATGCAAGAATGCATTGTAGGGAGTAAGTAGAGAAGTACTTAGCACGCGGCCAAAGGACCGTCGTAAAAATAAAGCGTGGTTTGCGCCGTCGTGTTACTGCCTTTACTGCGAGACGGTGATCCTTTTGTAAATTCGATATAGTTTGGGGTGCTACAAAATCTATTAACGCTAGGATTACCACTTGTGGGCTCGGCTTTATATATAGCTTTTCTTTTTAATTTATTTAGGTCAACGCACAGTAGACACAATTAATACTTATAACTAATTTGTATTTGTAATACTAATATTAATGCACGTGTCACCAACACAGTTAACGACTAATTACTACAAAAAACTGACAAGTGGTGTAAAGTTGAGATAATAACCATTATTGTAGGGGAATATTTATAAGCAGGTGCTTCGTGGATAGCATGAGTAGCTAGCAAGTTTAAATACACATCTGGGTAAGGATTACTATTGTTATCCGTGATATGTCCATTAATATGGCCTGTTAGAGTTATGGTTTTATTGTGTGATAGCAGCGAAACTACCCCATTTATAGATTCTATGGATGAGTCTAAATTAGTAAAGAAGGGGAGATGGCTAATAGCCCATAAAGAAAAGTCAGTACCAATTTCCATGAGCAAAAAAAATCTGGCATCATTTAACTTGGGTTCACAAACTATCACGGCCAGTTAGCAACTGTTTATGTTGTAACGGAACGTTACAAGTATGTATTTGTAAATAATTACCGTATTGATAAATATCTAGATAAAGTATTTTCTTAGTAATAAAATTTTATATACTACGGCAGTTCAAAACTTTGCCATAGCCACTTCCTTCATAGCCACTAAAATTTGATTCAAACGTAATAGTTGAATGGGTGTCCGCGGGGGTAGCGAGACACGCGGGGCGAGCGACCCGGCTGCAGCGATCGTCGTCGCTGGTGACGCACGCGTCATTCGACCATTCGTTTCTCTTTTATCGCTAGCCCACACGATGCAGATTTAAAATTTCAAATTATCGATTTGGGAAATCGACATTTTTTTGAATACTAAGTATTTTTAAAGCTCAACTCACACTGGCTTAGAGTCGAAGCGTCGCAACGCGTCATGTTTTTCGCCTATAGCATATTCATCTCTATTTTCCGATTATTAAGGTACGAATTTGTGTTATGTAATTATGGAAACGCTTCGACTCTGCGCCTGTGTGAGTTAAGCCTAACAAAGGTTTTTTACTGAAAGTGAGTTCCAAAATCGTTAATATTAGCATTTTACTAAATTGCATATCTTTGTGTAATTTTCGTATATATATATTGTGCTGCAACCTATATACATATGTATATCTAAATTTGTACTAAGAAATTCTAGAAATTTCCGTTAATTTCATTGTCTCAATTTAAATTGTGACGACTTTCGTATTTTTGATTTTGAGAGACGTTTAAACTTCAGCAGCTTTAGTATTATTTCAAATTTGTAAACTCCGTTTCTGAGTGTACCGTCCGGCAAGAACTACTACCAGTACTTTCCTAATTTCTCTGCGCCCAAGCAGCACACCCATATCTAAATATATACTATATGATATTAGTAGCAGTAGATAGTAGTAGCATTTTGGGTCCCACACATTTTTTCTGCTACATTACGAAATGTGCAATCTTAATTTAAAAAACTGCAAAATTATTTCGTATGCAGATGACACAACCTTGACTTTTCGTGGAAATAATAGGGAGGAAGTATTTGACCTGGCTCAAACAGGCTTTAATGATGTAATGATGGGTGTAATGGCTGGCCCTCATCTCGTTGAGTTTGAATTCTAGTAAAACAAAATTTATATTCTTCTCTATTAGAAATCTTTCTAGTTATGTTAACCATACAATTCAAACCCATTCGTGTGCTTTCCCGATAGGGGCATTGTCTTTCCCGCACTTGGAGTTGACGCAGTCCATTGGATATCTAGGTGTATTAATACATAGACGGCTCGCATTTGATTCCCACATTAGTAATCGTTTAAGGGATTATAAAGCTTATACCTATATTTTCAAACAACTTTGCCACGTGTTGGATGGCAACCTGATAAGAAATGTCTATCTGTCACTCTATTATTTCGTACTGTATCGTTTCATGGGGTGGTGCGGCGAGGTCTCATATGCTCGTTTTGGAAAGAGCATAGCGATTTATTTTAAAAGGTCTACCTGTTTAAGCCCCGTACGCATCCTACATGAGATCTTTCTTGTGAAAGTAAAGTTTTAACCGTTCGACAAACGCACCTTCTTGCCCTGATTATCAAACAACACTCTTTAATTGGATATCGTCCTGATCATCTTATTTCAAGGCGATCACATGAGTTATGCAAGGTGACTGCAGAGAACTTCTTTTGCAAAGAGGACCAAGGGATCCCTAGTGCTTCCTCTAGGGTTCCCTTGAACCTCTTCCTTTCTTTTAGTGTCTTTAAAACCTTCGTTTTAGTGCCTTTGTACCATAGTTTTCTTCTCTTGTTTAATTGTAATAATGAAAGTTAGATTTATATCAGTGTGTCGCAATCTGACACGACGGCTTGTGCTGTGTGTATGAAACCGATACTGTTCTGACGCGACACGACATACACGTCAGACAAGTGTAAATCCGGCTTTAAAGCGACTTTATGTAATCCTTCAAGCCCTAACGTCTGGCGTAATGACAGACTCCCAAAAATTTGGGGAATATGTTTTAGAAACTGCAGGAACATACGTCAGTAAATACGACTCGTATTATATGCTGTCTTCGGTATACAAAATATCGATTCACGGAGAAGGTATAATTAATTATTTTTCAGTGTTTATTAGATAGTAAATTTAGATTATACCACGCAAGAAAGTACTCAAGATCTGCTACAAATGAAGATGTATTTCACACGTTACTTTGTACTTAGCAGTACTAGTAGCAGTAGAGGTCCTTGTGAAAAAGTTCGACTCGGGAAGTACTGCCACCTTACCTATTTCTGCCGCCAAGCGTTAATGTGAGCATTACTGCCTTCCGGTTTGTAAGGGTAAGGGTGCTGGTGAAATTACAGGTACATAGGCCTTGTCAGCTTATGCCTCTGGGTGACGGGTGCAATGCCAGTGCCCCTAAGATCTTTGTGATTTCAAACTCTGAGTGGCACTGCAACTGTTATAGACAGGCGTGCAGCTTACCACCATTATAAAAAAAAATATTTTACACTAACTAACTTATAAATAGACGATAATTACTATTTTGAAAATTAAACATACCATATAACATTTACGACAGAAAGAATGGTTTCATCACATGCTAGGGACGAATGCGACCGGTCGGTCGGATCGGGGGAGTGGAAAATCTTCTTACCTACCCTATTTTTGTGTCTGTTATTGGCAATATGATAATATAGCGGAGTACAGAAAAATCTTTAATAGGTTAATGGGACACCGTTTTATGTATTTTTACTTACACACACAACAAGCTAGTCAGTCTGATGAATGGAAATACACGCCTCGTTTCAGCCGGCGCAACCGCATTCATATTCAGTCGCTAGCGCACGTTCTCGAACAGACGTCACGCTCGAGTGTCCTCTCTTGCGACTTCCGGCTTACGTGTTCAATGTACAGGGTCGAGAGCACGTCAAGCTTGACACTTAAGACTTAAATCCCATTCTATGCCGCTTACGAAAATAACGGCCCAAAGTACAAAGTGTTAAGCTTGACGTGCTCTTGACTGTAACCGCGACAGACGATCACACCGCGAGTGCTACAAAATGGTGAGGTGTTACTTTTGAAATGATGAAGTCTACGGAGCCCAGAGACTGTACGAAGTAAAAAGTGTTCCACGCCTTCGCAATCTGGGAGTTGAAAACATAAGGACACTCAACCTTCAAACGATTTCAAATGTCGTGCAATGGCTCGGCTGTGCCGATAATACCTTCACACGCTCAAAACCAGGTAACTTATCCATCCTTGACTTATACTTGATTAATAACGGGTTACATTCCAAAAGAAAAGTACAATTGTCCCTGTTCTGTTCTGTTAGCCGTCATATTCAAAACAATATGACGAACCGAAGCTCGTAAAGGTATGAAGGGAAAATTAGCACCTTATGTTTCTTATCAACAACGGTATGCGGTGGCGGGCAGTACAGAAATATTTACTAATTACGCGAAACCAAAACAAGAAATCGGTAAGCCTGCGCAATGTCAGCTGAAGCAAGGGGCAACTCAGGACAAGACCATCATAGGTTATTAGGCGAATGGCTGTAAATACGCAAACCTTTTCGAATTTTACTACGGAAGCGCGACACGGATGTAGGTTAGATAATAATAATGTACCAGACAACCACACTAAATATCTAGTTTCAAGTTTCTCAATTTGGTCCTATCGAGAATCGAATCCAGGATCTCCTCACCTAGCACAGTATTAACCGTTCGGACTCCGAGGTCGTCAAATTATACTTTGGTCTGACGTGTTGCAAGGGTCGAAAATAAGTTCTAATTGTTGTGGTGTAGAAACCAAAATAAGTCGAATTGGTTATTTTAATTTCTTTCCTAGTTACTTTAATTTATGTAATTATTATGTACATTTTTATTTTTATATATTATTATTTATTTATTTATTTAGTATCTTATTACTATTATTATTTTCTTTTTTGTTGTGCTCTCAGTTAATTTTATACTACAGTTTATCCTGTAACCCGAAGGTGGCCTGGAAGAGATTGCTAATAAGGCCGCCTGTTGTACCTGTCATTTTTACTTTTTTGTATTATTATGTATTTGTCCGTGTCAAAGTCAAGTCAAAGTCAAATAATAATTTATTCCATACATTGACTTACAAATAAAATTCCATAGGTAAAATGTTTTACACTTAAAAACGTCATTTTTTAATTTATTCCTCGTTCACTACGCTGAC